CACTCAATCACGAGAACAAGTTTCATCCACACCCAGTATGTACCTAGCAAAGAGAATCCGGCTGATGGACCCTCTCGCGGCGAATACGGCCCACCCACCCACCTTCTTGCCGCCTTCGAAATCCCAGTCAACCTCAGGCCATACGTCACAGACTACGACACACCTCTTTGCTCAACTGAGCTCCGTCTTATACGGGAAGGAAGAGCACCAATGGCAGCCCCAAGACTTGATGCAGCGTCAAGGCGCCAGCAGTGTAGAACCGCAGACGAAGGCCAGGCACAACATGAGGAAGAATTCACTGCCCAAGCGGAAGCAGAGCGATAAGCGCAACCGCTTTGTGCCAGCAAATCGCAGCATCCAAGAGGTGGACACAGTGCACCCCACCTGCCCACCAGCACCATACCAAGAAGCACTTACTCCACATTTCTCACTGCAACGTCCCCATGTGCTCGCACAAGAACGGTTGACGTGTTGGAAGCCAACCACCCCACGAAATGTCCTTGGCCATCCCACCAACCTAACCGAAGCCAACCTCCGCAGAATCCTGGAGGTAATGGAGGGTGCATGGGCGGAAGGCACGCGAGAGGGCTATGGGTCAGGCCTGCTAGTATACCATGTATTCTGCGATCAGAAAGGGATCAGCGAAGAGCAATGGGCGCCTGCGTCTCCCATCCTCATTGCCTCGTTCATTGCTACTATCACAGGCGCATACACGGGAGGCACCATTTCCAACTATGTCTTTGGAGTGAGAGCCTGGCACCTTCTTCATGGGGTCTCATGGCGGATGAATTCTAGTGAGCTCGAGACACTCTTGAAGGCAGCTGCGAAGGCAGCCCCAGCCTCAACAAAACGGAAGAAGAGGCTACCGTACACAAAAGAGTTCATGCTGGCTATTCGCGACAAGCTGGACCTTGAAACGCCGCTGGATGCCGCCGTCTATGCATGCCTCACAACGACCTTCTGGTCAGCCGCAAGACTCGGAGAGTTCACAGTTAAAAACCTCACAGACTTCAAAGCTACGCACCACGTCAAACCATCAGACGTAATAACCACCACGGATGCCAACGGTTTGACGACGACAGCCTTTCACATCCCAGTTACAAAAACGGAGCCAATCGAAGGCGAGGATGTGTCCTGGTCCAAACAGAATGGGGATACTGACCCAGCAGCTGCCCTCGACAAACATCTCTCAGTCAACAACCCACCAAAGGAGGGCCCGTTGTTCGCTTACCGCACCGCCAAGGGCTACAATGCACTTCAAAA